CTTTCCGTCCAGAGTTCCCCTTAGAATCACTCACTTTTTTTCGGCTGATATGAACCCTTACAGTGGCGTACGCCAGCTGGACTGATGCTAGAGTGAAAATATGGAGGATGCTGCAATGGAAGTGAAGTGTTTGTAGTCTTTTATCAATTTCTTCATCTTCTTATGGCACAGCTTTGTTATTTGATAAATAGGAGATACTTTCAAAGATCCTAACGTCACCCTTTGCCAAAAAAAAATGCACTGCAATGGACCTCACTGTTGGTCCATGTGTTTTCCTCCGTTTTCAATGATTTTAGGAGCGTTTACCAACTATTCTTTACTGTTGATGCTAAACATCAAAATAAGTGTTGGTGGCACTGAATTAGCCTCGACCAGTCAACCTAAACTCACTTATGGACCAATCACTGTGCACTCATGTCACTTAAAGTCCTTCTTTTGCTGGTAGAGTACCTACTCTGAAGCAGGAGCTAAAAGGGATCCTCCAGGCAGAAACTAAAATAGTTCATACAAGTTTAGACCGTTGAGTCCAACCCTGCATTTTTGCTCATACTCAATGACACCTGTCTCCCAAGATTTCTCTATAAAACTGGTTCAGTATCAGTTTGTGGTGGCTCTGAAACACCAGAATCTGGTTGACAAGGTTTGGTGTAAATGCAGGAAAGTGAAGTCAAGTGTTTTGAAATGATAATATGCAGATTTAGTTGGAGTCAGGTGCAGAAATATTCAAAAATCTCCAATAAAGCTTCAACTAGTCAACTGTTGTTATGCATATTATGTGTTAGGGGAAGTGGATGGACAAATGGGTGTGATCTTGAAGCTGTGAAGTCAAAGGTCAGCTTTTGGGGATTTGTTTACACAGGAATAAGCCCACTACTTCACTGATATTTTTGTGAAGTAGTCATTTTGTTATCTAATATATGATAATGACTCTATTTATATAGCACTTTTAAAAACAGAAGTGCTTTGCAACAGTTGCAAGCACAGAACATCAGCACATGAAAACCTACTTAGAGCATGATCAAATACATAGCAGAAGCCATATATCATTTTGGGTAGGGACTTTTGCCTAGTCTTTAAACCCTGGGAAAAAAAGAGGAGCTGGGGAGAGGCAATGTAGCTTTGCCCATAGTGTAGACACAGAAACATCCAAACATGCTGTCTGTGAATAAGTCAGAGAGTTACTGAGAGTTACAGTCGGATGACTTGATTGAGGATCCAAAGCAGGCAGCCAGAAGCCATTAGTTGTACAAACAGAGGGAAAGAAATCCATGCGAAACTGAATATAAAGATATATTCAATTACCTCAGATGCATCCAATCATGTGAAACCGCAACATTTATAACCGTTATATTCTGACCATCCTTCTTCTGTTAATTACAGCCTGCCACATGATCGACTTATTTCCACTGTGTCTTTTGCGCTACATCTGCCTTCTTTATTTAAATTGAAGTGAGATGTTAATTGCATCTTTTATCTGTGGGTTATGGCCGGGACATTTATATGTGTCCTCCTCACAATAGTATCAATAACATCATCATTCAACCCGCGCAATAACAGATGCAAAGATTAACAGCCTTATCATGTAATGATTTTTCTGCTATCATGATTAGCTGTTCTCATTGTGAACTATCGGACTCTGGAGATCAGTTGAACAGAAAGCCAGAGGCGACTGTTTATTATATTTACTCTGATGGGAAAGTCTGGGCTTGGAGCAGCTCAAAGCTGTTAAAACTGCTTTATTCCTGTAAAAATGTTGTATAAATGTAGACAAATTCCCATCTTTACGTGTCTTTTTGTTTTATCGGCAAATGAGAAGACGATAGGGAGTGAAGATTGTGGAGGGATTTTGGTCTGTATATACTATGGACAACTTGGTTCTGCCTTCCGCCAGTAAACGAATTTGAACCCGAATTGCTCTCAGTATTTCTGTGCTTTTTTCTCCACTTTCTGAAACCAACATTGCGCAGTAGCATTGTACGAATTCAACAGGAGAGTCACCGAGAGTTGCTATGATAACACTCAGCTCGAATGGCGTATCCCCCGGGTAAGCTACGCAATCATCGTACGCCCATAGGCTGTATCAATGTCAACCATAGAAAGCATGAACCCCTTAATAACTTTTAAAAATGGAGCTGCAACATCACAACCAGGGGGAAGAAAAATTTATAGTCTGTGTAATTAATTTCTAATGTCCACAGTTCCATAGGGATTGCTGGAGGAGGCGGGATTTATGACCTATACTTCAGCCCGTCACCAGAGGGTGCTGTTCTCGGGTTGGCATCACCCAGCGAGGGGGCAGATGGCATCCATTCTAATATATCCATTGGCATCCATTCTATATACAGTCTATTGCTGTGTTCCAGTTTTACTCGGAAGTCAGAATTTCCGAGCTCCAGTCGGAAATTCATCTGGAACACCCCCCTGAAGTTGAGTTTCCGACTCAGAAAGTGGATTGATCCTCGCCAACCCTGACTTGATGACAAAGTCATAATCCAAGATGGCAGCGCAGTGCATCAACAGTGAAGAGTAACAGTGAAAGCTCTTGTAATGTATTATTTATTAGCGCATCTGTTTTGTCTTTGTGAAATTAAATAAGTGGTATATGTTGTACTGCCCAACGTCTGACTGTGAACATGGTGCTATGGTGTTTATATGAGTAAAATACTGTGTTATGTTTATAACTGGTATAGCTAACAACAACTAACAACAGCTGACAACGGCTAACAACCACTAACAACTGACAGCGGCTAACAACAGCTGACAATTGTAAACAACAGCTAACAACGGCTAACAGTAGGCGTCCATCTTGGTTTTCCGACTTGTTAACTGGAACGCCGCCAACTTGAGTGTAACGTCATTCCCAGCTCCGACATTCGACTTCCGAGGTGACTGGAACCTAGCATATGAGTGCTGCCCATCAAAGCATCAAGACACTTGACAGCTACATGTAAACACAGTGACATAATATTTATTATTGAAACAGACTGATGCCACTCATCTTCAGCTAGACCCATACCAAGTTTTTGTCACATTTTGTATCAAATTCCAGTAATTCTAGTTACAGGTGGTAGATTGTGCTTCGAGAGGAAGGGGAAGACTTTGTTCGTGACACATGCAGAGATTTCAGGCAAGCATGGATGGAAGACATCAGCTGGCAGGCTCAGAGAAATAAATGACTGTGGTCTGGGAGAGAAGAATGGAAATGTCCTCATCTTTTCAAGAGGAAAAGTAGAGAGGCACAGTACTGCAGATCATCTGTGCTTACAGGGTACAAAAGTTCAGAGACAGATGAGGAAACTTTCCTCCCCCGTCTGTTACCAGACAACAAAAAAACATCAGCAAAGAGTCATGAAGAGGGAAGATTAAGCCTAAGACTTTGGAGAGCCTTCATTTTAAAGGAGAAAAAGGTAGAAAAGAGACGGCTTTAGATCTGCTGCACATTTAATCCTTAATTTGCAAATTTACAGATGGGTTTAGTAATGACTTTTTTTCCCAAGAGGAGCTCACATCTGAGTTAAATTAATGCAAAACCGACGACAACTAACATTTCCTTTCTTGCCTGCTAGATCAGTTTTATTTTTTTAGGTCCGTATGGAGTCACACTAGAGAGGATCACTGACAAATCCAGAGATTATTTAATATGAATATCTCTAAATTTGATGTTTTTTTCCCCTTGAGTTTCTAATCAGGATCAACCAAATCTCACAACTGTTGACTTTGAATACATTGACAAAACTCTTCCAGTTAAATGTGTGTTCTGCAGGTAAATATGAATCTTAGAGAGGATTCGAGCAGATGCACTGATTGGTCTGTGCGCCGCTTAACTAGCAAAATGCAATCAGACACACTTTGTTCCATGCACTTAAGATCTGGACTGTGCATGGAGGAAATTTCATTTTAAAAAGGGTCCTAGTGCTCACCTAAAGCCTGTTCTTACCTGGAGGGAGGTCAAGTGAGAAGTAGGATCTTCTGAGTTGTCAAATTGGCACTCTCCTTTGTCAGGGTCTTACTCCAAGGCCCACAACACCTCCAGAGGGATCTGCAGTGAATCCTGGACTTTCCTTGTACCCCATCCTCTGGAAAAGCTTCAGCGCCGATGCAGCTATGAGGCCTCTGCCGCTACCCCTGTTTCTTGCATCTTCCCATCGCACTGTGAGCTGGATAAGATATGAAAAATAAAGGAAAATTAGACAGAGCTGTCACAGATATTGGATGCTAACCTTGTAATCTGCAGAATTTCGGTGCAGTATTGACCCGCAGCACCTCACTGAACACATACTGAGTGCTTTTTAAACCCTCAAACTTTCACCAGAGAAGACCAAGGCCCTCCAAGTAAAAGTCTCAGAATATAAAAGTGTGTTTTCAAACCCTGTGATGGAAAATGTTTTATAACTGAGGTGCGAGTCTTTGGAAATGATTTTATGTCTGCAAGTCAAGGACAGTCAAAAGTAAGTAGAAGAAGAAAAATGCGGGAGAGCGGTTGATGTCCAAAGTAGAAAAACTTTTTTTCTTAAAGGTTCAAATCTGTAAAACCTCAAAGCCTTTGACAGTCTGAACCAATCGCTGTAGCTCTGACAGCACGCTCAATGTTCTGCCCTGAAAGGTCCCTCAAAAATACTGACAGCAGTGTGTTGAAAGAATGAAAGCCAGTCGAACTGTTGGGTAGCTGAGTGTTTGAGCTCTTTGGAGCATCAGTTTGACTCCGCTTCCTCTTCTCTCCAGTGCAAAGTAAATAATGGACAACTGGAAGAGAAGAGCCTGACTGCCCCGGGCCGAATCCCAACATCAGGGGGTCTCAGGCTGGCAGGAGGCTTGAATCAGACAGCAGTGTTTTCTCCAGCTCCAGTGTGGTGCACACTCTCCTTTGTGGTTGTGATAAAAAGCCTCCAGCAGGCCCAGCAGCACCTGTAAAGGTAGAAAAAAAACAGGTCTGACAGCAGCAGTGATGTGAGCAGTCAAAGTTTTTCGTCCATGAACTGTCCACCAGCTTCACTCAATCACTCATCACTGGCCTGCATGCTTCACTTTATAAATACAATAGACTTTTCCTTTCAGTCAGCTGTGACAAAACCCAGGAGGCTTCACCCGGCTGAGGTCATCTCCCTGCAGCCGTTAAAGGTTTTCCAAGAATCAGCATGAGCCTGGAACAAAATTACAGTCGTTTAAATATAAAGACACTGTTTTACATTATGAACAAGCAAAATACGTTTTCTATTTGAAGGTGGACTGTAGGCCTGTCACGATAACAAATTTTGCTGGACGATAATTGTGCTACAAATTATCGCCGATAAACGATATTATTGACACCATTTTTTAAATTATAGATAATGATATTATATGGCATAATAATGCGAGTACACCATGTCAAAAGTGATAAACTTTAATTTCCACACGAGAACAACACTGGTTGTTTTCGTTGACTAAAATATTTCCCTTTTCTCCCACGACGAAGACGTAACGTTGACGAGCTAAACATAAGTCGGAGATGACTAAAATGTGTCGAGACGAAAGTGCGTTTACGTTGATGGGACGAGACGAAAATGACGAACAGAGTTGCAAAACTCAGTCAGTTAAACGCTAAACATATAAGAGCAGCTTCAGTCCGCTCTGACAGCTCTCATCAGCCTGCTGTGCTCCTCCAACACACAGACACACGCGCGCGCGCGCGTGCACACACACACACACACGTGGAGTTTTGTGGTTGACGAAAACAAAACTGGTTTAAAGCCGAAATATTCCCACACTTGGGCTGTTGCGTTCGGTTTAGACACCAAAGCTGTCGTGTTCATTCTGTTAGCTTGCTTTTCACTCACGACGCTCACTTGCAGCACTGTATCCAAAAAGTCTGTGTCTGCGTGCCTGTGCGCGCCAGCCCCCTCGTGACAAAGACACTGAATGACTGACAGGAGGGTTCACTAACTCCGTTCATTCCGCTAAAGAGCCAACGCCCCCAGGTGCCGAGAACAATGCGCAGAGTGAGACCTCTTCTCTCATCCAGCGTGTTTGGTAGCGAGAGAGGAGGAAAACAAACGCACGTCAATTATCGAGGCTGGCAAAGTTATCGACCTCGTTTTTATTTATCGAGCGATAAGGCGATTTATTGATTATCACGACAGGCCTAGTGGACTGTATATTATTTAACTTAATGTCACATAAATTTGAGCAATCCCAGTATTTGGACTCAGTGTTTGTGCCATTGAGTGAGAGTAAAGGCAGGTCTTCTCCTCCTTGTTGTATTTTTAACCTAATCCTAAAGTGTGTATGACCACTTTGTATTAATAAATGAAATATTTAGCACTATCAAAAGCCCTAATGGTTTGGTGAATCTGAAAGTACCTCAGGATTTTTAAGAGTAAAATTAAGGTAGCCCAAAAAAATTTTTATTTTATTTTTTCAGAAATGCTTCTGATCCATGAAATATATTTGATTTCACAATTGTTTTTGTATTGTTACCCACATCTGAACAAGTAAAAAATCAGTACACAATATTGGATACATCATAAAAAGTTTATTTGAGCCACTCTTGGTCTGATCCCTCTCTCAGGACCTGTTTGCCATGGGTGACCCTACCAGGGACATAAAGCCTCCGACAACTTAGCTCCTGGGGTCACTGGGACACACAAACCCCTTCACCGCGGTAAGGTGGTGGCTCAAGGAGGGGAAATATATATATGTTAATATTTTATTTTTATATTTATTTTATATTTTAATATATATTTTTATTTGTAATATAAAATTAAATATAAGAAATACAAAAAATATAAGAAATTTGCATTTCAGTATTTTCTGCGTTCTGGTAATCTGCATACATTCTGCATATTCATGAAGGCAAACATGCTAAATTCATTGCGTGTGCTGTTTTTGAACATGCAAACCCTTAGCAGATCAGGCCATGTGTGTTAAAGAAAGTACTATATTGTCATATGATGGCGCTGCAACCGTAGTTGAAAACTAACTATATCAATGTATTCAGGGAACACGGATATGAAATTTTGAAGAGATTATAGGTCACATGACTGAGCAACAATGACTTCCTGTTTCATGATAAGCGACAACAGCCACACCTTTAACAGAAACTCGAAATCCTTAATTGTGTCTCAGATAAAAGGCAGAGTTCGGTAAATGTGCAGCCTGTCAATCCCCCAAGTTGTGTGGGTTGGACTCATAAGAGGATATACAAGGCACTATAAACCGGTAAATTTGCAAAATTCATAAAAAGTCAGGACTGAGGTGTGTGTGTGAATTTTGATGAGTTTTGAGGCATGATAACTCCTCCAAATATGAAAGTAAAACAGAAAACATAATCCTGAGGGTTCTCTTGCTCTTAGATCTCTTGCACTGCTTTGTGTGCTTAGGCCCTAAAAATGGTCTCTGCACACCCTGGTGCAAAGTAATGAAAGCAGAGTTTTATTCAAACAGAAAGGAATAGATTTATCCTAATAGTCTCTAAAGGCCGGTATTATAACGTACCTGCTCCTGAAATCATTTTAATTTCCCCTTCTCGTGCTTACTGAAATACCTGCAGAGACATACTGTGTTTATTGTAGCTGGGGGCTGTTATTAAATTGCATAATGCATTGCATCAGATGCCCTTATGTTCACGTCCAGCCTTTGTACTTCTGTGCTGACATGTGTGCAGGTATCTGCTGCATACTGACTGAAGCATACGCAGGTTGCATTATGGCCAAAGAATTCAACAGATGTTTTCCAAATGCAAGACAAGGCAAGCTTCATTGAGCTTATCAGTAAAGCATGGGGAAACTCCCCGGTGACATGGCTACATTCCTGGCTTGGCGTGGAAATGACTATTCAGTATGCTCTGCTGAGATGGTGACAGGGGAAATTAACAAACAACCAAATCTTTGCCTGATAACACATGAAAGAGAAAGGAGCCCTGGCACTGGCATGGTGCATGTGTGCGTGTGTGTGTGTGTGTGTGGGCAGACAGTATGTGTTCATACCTCTCTGCTCTGCATTTGCTTTCTTATCTCCCATCTTCCATCTGCACATCATGAGAGGGTTCCCGGCGAGCAGCCGTCCCTTTGAAATCCTCCCAGCGTGTTTGTTTATGTCAAGCACTCGCGTGTTTCAGGGATTACATCTTTTCTTTTTCCTTTCCTGAATTCCCCTCCTTGTTTCGCCTCAGAGGAATTCAGCGACAACTCCCCTCCACCTTCTGAAACACACACACGCAAACACACACACATATTTACTGGTTAAAATGATGCCCTATGGTGAGGATTACGAGAGGTTATTAGAATATAGTCATGCATATCAGTGAAGCACAAAACAGCCTGTACAGAAAGGATAATTCATTAGAGTAAAATCAGAGCGTTGAGACCCCTATAGAAAAATATTTTCATTCCTCAAAAGAAATCTTTATCTCCCTCACCAGAACACAAAATATCTGATATTTGTTGCATCGCTGCTTTTCGCCTCCGCCAATCATCCTTAGGGCTTAATGGTCAGGCTAATTAGGTCTTCGGAGAATACTGGTGTCGGACCAGTCAGAGTTGTCACTATGTAAGAGCCGCGGAGACCATTAAAGCCTCGATTGATGTCCACTAGACAACCCCTGCAAGGGTTGTTCATTGTAGACTAAATGAGGCCCTGTAGCTATTCCCAGAGTAAACAGACGGGATCACTGCTGCCTCATTTCATATTTATTATTGGTTCGCTCCCTCATGGCTGAGCAACACTGTGTTCTACAATAAATGTTTGTTTTATATGATGTATCTGAATCAGCACAGTAAGTGTCTAAGTAAAGTCATTTGAGGAGAATTATTTGATACAAATTTAGTTACCATTTTGATTTAGCTTGTTAGCATGCTAAAAAGTTGCTCTCATGCTAAAGGTTAAAGGAAATCTTTCATCCCAAAATCGTAAAGGTACAGTGCATAGTAATCAGAGCGTTTGCTGATATCTTGTGGTCAAGTTCCACATTGAACTGCTCCCTTGTTCAACCCACAGATGGTTAAGTCCCAGAGAGGACAGTGGCCTTTTCCTACTGAGCATTTTTTGGTTTAAAAGAGGTCGAATAGATGTCTAAATGTAGCCTGATGACTGGTCTAAAACCAGGCTTCCACAGGTCTTAAATTTTAAAGTTTTTCTGTCTAAAATTATGTAGAATCTTGATGGTTGAAATTAGGTCTAAAAGAAAAAAAAACTAGGCATCTAATAGCCGTCTTCAGTTTTTAACGGAAATACCTTTTTGGGTTGCAAAACTTAACCAGCTGGTGCAAAAACTGTACAAAGCAGCAGCTGTTAACTGAGTGTGAGAAAGGTTTCCTCCTTTCTACATTTTGCATCGTCACTGTTATTTGTGCTGCTGGCAGTTCATGTTCACACCTTATTTGCAGAAACCACATGATGGAGTGAAAGATTGTGATGAGGTAGTTCTGAGACAATCCCAGAGCTCAGACACACTGTATTATATTAATAGTGCCTGCGTTACAGGTCTGATACCTAAAGCTTCTATGAGGAACTTCTGGTGGACAAAGCAGTCTTTGCTTATCTTCTTCTACAACCTTCAGAAGTGATTTTTTATTTTTATCTTTATTTTAATCTAAATTTAGCTGATTTTTGACAATCAAATGTGAGTATTTTAGGTGGGAAGCATAAAAAAAAAACACCAAACCAATGCACTGATCCCACAGCTGTTTAGATCACCATGTAAACACGTATTTATCTGCTCTGTAACTGGCCGTGTCTGGTTTGAAGACGTGCCCATCAGCGCTAACATCTTTCCTCACATGGAGCCTCGTAAATATTTTTCATGTTAACAGAGACAAAACTTCTGCGTATGTCATGAAGCAAGAATGTCACTGCAAACGCCTCAACACACGTCTCAAACCATGAGCTCGTACTTCCCGGAGCGAGGTGCACTGACATCATCCTCAGGGTTATATCACAGATTTTTCTAGGTTTATTCTAAGCTGAAGTCAGTCTGATATCACTGGAGCCTTATTTAACTAACTCAGTATATCCTCCGTCTGACCAGGGAGATGTGCTCATAATGACTCACTGTGAGTCATGCTGCATATAGTCATGGGGGTGATGTTTGAGAGGTCTGAAACCTCCAATAAGCTGTAAAATAATTCCTGTATTTGCATTTCCTCTTCTCTTACTGTTATAAAACTGGAGAAAAACTCTGCTCTAGGTGATGAGTGTCGTAAAAGTTAGAAAACAAACTTCTGTTTTCACATTTTGTACCCTGAGAAAGGCGTGTGCATCTTCCTCTATATCTATTTTCATTACCCGGCTGCTTTAAAGGTGCAGTAATATAATATTTGGTTAAATTATTGTCTAATCACCCCAAAATGAAAACATTTTTGATTTTGTAAGCTCAGAGTAAGACTTTTATATCTACATAAGAGCAGATCTTTTGCTGCCACATTTCTACAGTAGCCCAGAACAGACAAACTAGTATCATATAAGATTTTATACTTCGTGAGAGGTAGAGCAAATTAACATAGACTGTGGTTATTGTTCTTTAAAGAATTGTGTAGATGATTTTGGAGGTAAAAACTTGGCAAATGGAGGATCGTACTTATCATGCATCACAGGAGCTTTTTGTCCCTGAAGGCCACTGTCACTCCATTAACAGGAGAGGTGAGCAAGGGGGTACTTCAACCTCAGATCTGGCTGCTAGACATCACTAAATATTGGGGAAACAGAGCTTTTGAATCATGCTGCAAATGCAGAAAAAGATGTCTGCCATTTTTCACCTCTGCCTGTTGACACAGTGGCAAAAACATCAAACACTCAAACAGTGTTAGATTTCTTAACTGGTCAACAGCGTGGAGGATGTTACTATTTGTGATGTTTATAGTGTAAATACTTGTAAATTATCTCTTTATTTAAACTATTGTTTATCTCCTCTTTTTACTGTGTTTGCACTGGAGTACTGTGACAAAGGCAATTCCCCCCTGGTGATTATTCAAGTATCTCTGATTCTGATTCTGACTCTGATCTGATTTCTAACTTTGCATTTAATTTGTTTGGAGAGAATGACATTTAAGGTTGTTTTTACATGTGAAAGTCCAGAGACTTGGCTCAATGGTGGCATAAAACAGCAACACTGTCTACATTTATGTGGTCATTTTGTCTTTACAGGAAAGGACAGCAGACCACAAGCAGGAAATGTAAGGAAAGTGGGAAGTACACGCCACATAGAATCATGGCCGCGAGCCCAACAGCAGCCGTGCATGGCATATGGCTGAAACTGCTAGTCCAGCAGCACCTCAGAGAAGACACATCTGAAGGGAAAAGTCAGAGAGAAGTTTTAAATTAGCCCCATATGTTTACATTAACTGCCTCTGGAGAAATCTGCCTTCTTGTACTGTCCACCGACAGTTCTATATGCAATATTTCAAATATTTTGGGTATGACAAATCTGAAAAAAATGAGACAAATAAGAAATCAAGCCTTATATTTGCTTTTGGTACATCACAATAAAAAAACTTCAACTTCCTTCAAGAAACTCAGAGAAAATTTGTCTTGCTGCATTGGACAGTCAGTTATACCCATAAAAATGTATTAAGTCCTTGTTTTGGGGTTTTAAAATCTTAAATAAAAAGTTATATCTAGACTTTTTTGAACCCTGTGGCTTGTATCATGTGCAATGAAACATTTATATCAGATATAAGACATTTGCAAATCTCACAAAAATCCAACCAAGAGCATCTACCTTCCCAAACCATCATAACTTCCCAAAGGGAGCAATCCCAGTATACGAACAGGGACAGGGTTATTTAGCTTTTATTTAGTCAGAAAGTCGCACAGGCTTTCTGTTTGCCTCACAAACTTGCTGTACCTGCATAAATGCATCACCTAGACTGATAAATCTGTGTTCTTTCCTTTCAAAGTGAACCTGTTGCTGCTTTGCTAACACGCAGCTCAGGCTACGTCTCCAGAGAAAACGCAGTGTGTGATTAAATGTTTCTGTCTTGGTGGTTTGACACGACAACTTCAAAGACAACTTAAAGGTGCAATTGGCCTTGACTGAGTGAAGTATGCTACAGTGTGCGAGAGCACTCCTAACAGGCCATTGATCAAGTTCGTACCTGAGCTCTTGTCACGCCTCGGGTTACTGCCAGTCTCAAGTGTTGAGGAAACAGAAGGATTTATGAGGAAATTAACATCAATTTGGGGCTAAATAATTATGTATGACTGCTGGGATGTGCTATGTACATGGTTATTATTTTGGATTTGAGAACTACTGAGCAGTAACTAATGTACTTTAAAAACCTGTTTAATGATGATGGGTAACAACATGAACTTCAGTAATTATCTGAACTGTCAGACTTTTTCAAGAGTTATTCTGCAGTAAATTTCTGTACAGACGCATTCAAATAGGGGTATTTTAGTGAGCTAGTGTTTCTTACAGTTACACATAAAAATGTTTTGTATTGATTTGCATTGTTGCAATCTACAAACACTTCAAAAAGATAGACGTCCCAGCAAAGACAAACTGTAACTACCCTTAAATTGTGATTTACCATTATTAAACTTGCTTAATCTATGAATAAATGAAGTTTAATGGAGTTTAATAAGTTTTAAGCTATCTAAGCATTTTTAAATGTTAAAACACCTATAAGGAATTTTTTTAAAGTGCATGATTGGATAGAGTGAAATTCACACTGGCGCTTTTTAATGACAGACATGAGCAAACAAGATCATCACAGACAAGGCGGACAGTTTTTCTGTAGTGTTTTTCAATGCCTAAAACTAGCACAAGGGGGTAGGTGAAAATACTGCTTTGTCCACAGGGGGCGCCAAAATTTACTCAATAAAACAACTTTAACTTACATGAAAGTCTGCATCAGTATCATGAGGAAAAACACCACATTGGTTATTCTTCTCTGTAACCTCAATAAAAACAAGGATAACCAAGACCTGTTTTCTCTGGTGTTTCAAAAATGTATCAAATGTGAAAGTGTAAAAAGATTGTAGTTCCTTGTGTGTCCACTAGAGGCTGGCTCCAAAAGTTAAAATCTCCTGCAGAGTAACACATTCATAGCAAAAAAATTGCTA